ACCAACAATATGGCTTATAAAAAAATCCTTGGATAGCCTACGAATCATTAAAATTTTATAGTGATCGATTGAAATATGACCACCATAATGTTTCAATTAACTAAATGTATTATTGTGGTTTCAGTTCAAAAATTACAACATTCATTGTTGGCCTCATGATTCTACTTCCTTGGTTATGTACAGTAGCTTTGACTTTGATATCCTATGTCAAATATGAATTTTAACAGTAGTCTTTTAAAAAATGACTACCATAAGTTTAACTACTTTTTCCGTTTCTTTTTAGTTAACACGTTTCTTTAGTCACATTTTCCAATGCACAAATTAAACCATTAATATCTTTAATTACCGATAAGTAAAAATTATAAAAAGTTGATATTTTGAAAATACATATTGTGACGAATCTAACAAGATCTCACATGACAATAAATTTCATTACGTATAAAACGCAAAACAAGGTCAAAGGGGAGTGTGTGAATAGTGTTAAAGTCAAAATGTATCAACTAAAAAAAACAGAGATAGTATGTGACAGGATATGGTTGGATGTAGTTATCCACATCACCTTTGACTTTATAATGCCTAATTTAATTAAAATCTATTTTTCTAATTTCAGATATTCATTTTTTGTTTTCGAAAATTAAATATTCTAATTTCTGGAATTCATTTTTTAATTTCATAATTAATTTTGGAAAATCAAAATTAAATTATAAATTAAAATCAAAAAAATTAAAATTAAAAAAATTGTTCATTGATGTTCTTCATTGTTCTTCATCCAAAGTCAAAACTTTTCAAAAATTTGTCACTTCGTTCAATGGTTGTATTAATAATCGAAAACTGAAAAAAAAAAAATGAAGTGATACGACACGAAATGATGAACGACATACATAGATTGAACCTAACATTAAATCATTTAACGAATTGCTTAATAAAAGTGACAAATTTTGGAAAAGTTATAATTTTGGATGATAAACAATGAAGAACTTGATGAACAATTTTTTTTAACGGTTATTTCAAGAAATACTACTGAGTAATTGCAAAATTCACCAAATGCCATCCGACTTTTCAAAATTCACCAAATGCCACCGAGTTTTAGCAAAATTCACCAAATGTCATTTTCGTTAGTTGACCGTCAATGTCCGTTAGTTGACCGTTAGATGACCCCACCACTTGTCACGTGTCACCTTCTGATTGGTCCGTTTTTAAAAAAAAAATATTTTTTACAAAAATTTAAAAAAATAACAAAAATAAAAATTAAAAACTTTTAAAAATAGTAAAAAAAAATATTATAAAATTACAAAAATATTAAAAAAAAGAAAAAGAAATTAAGAGGTGGCAGCCACCACCTCCTCCCTGACTGCCCACCCCAAAACCTTAGCCACCACAACCCCTGCCGCCGGGGCTAGCACCGGAAGGCGCACTGGCCTCTGGCGACCCCTCCCCTTCCCCGTCGCGATCCCCTAACCCGCAAAACCCTACCCCCTTTCCTCCACCACCCTAAAACCCCACCCCCCCCTTCTTTTCCCTCTCCGTTTTCCGGCACCCCAAAACCCCACCCCCCTTCTTTTCCCTCTCCGATTTCCGGCACTCCAAAACCCATCCCCTTCCCCAACAACTTCGTGATTGGTGCGAGATTGGTGGAGGAGTTTGTGGCCATTGATGTGAATGGTGCGAGATTGGTGGAGGAGATCTCGGCGGCGGTTTTTGGGGTCGAGGCTGGCTGTGTGGGTGGTTTTGGGGGTCGGCGGTGGATCAGGTGAGGTGCTAAAGGGCCGACCGGCCGATTTTTGTTGGTTACGAAGGCGGCTGGCCGTTTTCCGACAATATAAGGGGAGTGGCAGGGTTTTGGGGTGGTGGCTGGGGTGGTTTAGTGGTTTCTGTTTTTTTTTTTTTAGTTTTTTAATTATTTTTTGGTTTTTTTTTAAATTTTTTTATAAAAAACGGACCGATCAAAAAGTGACACGTGGCAAGTGGTGGGGTCCACTAACAGTCAACTAACGAATGTCAGTCATTAATGGCACTCAGTGAATTTTGTTAAAACTCGGTGGCATTTGGTGAATTTTGAAAAGTCGGATGACATTTGGTGAATTTTGCAATTGCTCAGTGGCATTTCATGAAATAATCGTTTTTTTAATTTTGATTTTTAATTTAACTTTGATTTTCTGAAATTAATTATGAAATAAAAAAATGAATTTCAGAAAATAGAGTATTTAATTCGAAAATAAAAAATGAATTTCAGATTAAGAAAAATGAATCTTAATTAAAAAGATATTAAAAAGTCAAAATTGACGTGGATAAATACATTCAATCACCTGTTGCTACATAGTTAAGCTTATGATAGTCGTTTTTGTAAAATCATCCCATGTCAAATACATAGTATTGTCTCCGTCTCACAATATAGTTACTATTTTCCTATTTTGGAGACCCAAAATGTTGTTTCTGTTTCCATTTTTGGATAATATGTAAAGACCATTATACCCTCATTTTTTTAACTTTATTCATTAAACTTCCTAATTTACCCTTAAAGTATCCACTTACATTGTATTTTTTTTCTACTTTCTCTATCTAATTTTTGTCTATAATTGTACTTTTCACTTTTCCTCCCTTAAATTATTCACTTGCCTTGTACTTTTGTCTAGCTTTTTTCCAATTTTAATGTACACCTTTTACTTTTTCTCCTATTTTTTAAATACTGTGAAAAGAACACAATACAAACTTTATTATGGTACGAAGGGAGTAATTCATATCGAGTGTGCATGATACACAGATAACTAGAAACAAAAGGTTAAGTAACAAGGAACAACAATTATTGAAGCATGTAACTAAATCAAAAGCTTATCAAATATTAATAAAATAACTAATCCAAATATTGTTAGTCCCTAGCAATGACGTACGAGAATATTTTATAGGTGCTTGCACACTCTTATCCGGCCACTTAATAATGTACCAGGTTAAATCAAGGTTGATCCCACAAAGAAAGTGGATTAATAATTGGGTTGCTATGAATTATACTCCGTAAATTTATGTTTTTTTTACTTGTAACACTTTAACTTTTATAATATTAAGGAAAAATATTGTCATGTGAAATCTTGTTAGATTTGTCTAAATTTATATTCTTTTCGTTTTTAAAAACTTGCTCCATTTCTCCATGCACGGAATTTTAAGAGAAATTGAAAAAAGTAATAAAATATGGAGGTAGTGGGGTAGGTGGAAGAATAAAAAATTGTAAAAAGAAAAAGTAGTTTAGAGAATTGTAGGAGAGAGAATATGAAATTAATAAAATATGATTAATGTTGGGTCCACTACTTGAGAGAAATGAATTAAATATTGTAAAAACTTTTCAAATAAGGAAATGGAGCAAGTATTTAAAAACGGCCAAAAATGGAAAGTGGAGCAAATATTTAAAAACGGAGGAAGTACTTTTATAATATCAAATTTTTAGAGAGTAAGGGATAACTCAAGTGGTTAGATCTCCCCTCCTGGTTCCAAGAGATCTTGGGATCAATTCTCATCACCCGCCCTTGCGGAAAAAAACAAAAATCAAATTAACATTTTTACATATTGGTAAATAAAAATATTAGCGAATGAAATAATGCATTAGCAAATGTAAAAAGTGAAGTGTTGTAAGTAAATAAAAACAGGAAAAGTATTTATTAATTAATTCATTTCAAATAAACATTGAATTATTATATTACTAATTTAAAGAAAAAAAAACAAGTAATTTAACGAAAGGTAACTCGGGCTTAGTAATTAAGTCAAATCAATTATTGTTAAAGTAATCCCAGTAATACTTTGAGGAAAATTACCGATGCAAACATGTTCCGAATAGTCACTAATATCCCACCTAACTACTAAGGGAACAACGGAGTTACATCCCATTTAATAACATGAGAACAGTTAAAGATCAAATGACATGCTATCGTTACAAATATAATCATAAATTAGATAAATAGGAGGTAGACCCTAGCTCTTGCTCTTCATCCCATTAATTACGTTTAGCATGATTAAATCCAAGGCATGATCACACCCCAAGCAATCAATTGAATGCTAAGAGAAAAGATACGCCCTATAACACCATAAACCTCCTTGTAGAAAATTTCATGCACAATAATTTGATTAATTGGTACTATTTTTAATAATAATAATAATTAAAAAAAGGTATAATCTCACAAAAAGTGTGAAAAATAAGATACTTTATGGCAATTTTCCATAATAATCTTGTCTCCATATCGTTAGGAAAATAATTTTAATTAATAAAAGTGAACTAAATCATCACTTATTTATTTATTTTTTTGAAAGAAAATCATCACTTAATTAGTGTTGCCCTTAAACTCAGCTACTTTGTCTCAAATTATAACCAAATCATGGTCACATAAATGTTTCACCCCTCGGAATTTCTCTCCCTTTGAACCCAAACAATGCAAACAACATTATCCACAAGTAAACTTTCTTCCCCTCTTCTCAAATAATCGTGCACGTAATTCTCATATTTTTCCTTAAATAACTTCCAAAACTATAAAATAATAAAGTTTCTAATTAAATCCTTAATTATCGCCTAAATTTTTACAGAGGTTTTTTTTTTTTTTTTTTTTTTTTTTTTTTTGTAAACGCTAACTATAGCCTAAATTCACATACCTAAGGTTTTTACTACATTAGTAAATCAAAGACATGTTTAAGACTTTTCCCATCAATATCATTATTCATCAATCTATCTTTCTTTCTTTCTTTTTATTTATTTATTTATATTTTTTTTAAATAAGAGCATCTATCTTTCTTTCTTTCTTTTTTATTTTTTTTTTATTTTTTTATTTTTTATTTTTAAATAAGAGCATTAATTGAAGGCACATTACCTCATTCCTTATCTACCTTTAAACACCATATTTAGAACACAACTTTTGAATCTTCTTGTTGTAAATATATTTAAACTCGTTTCATACTCGGTATTTCGTGTGCTCAGGAATAATTCATCAACCCTTAAAGTCGACAACTTATCAGTTGCGAGAATAATTCATTAGCCCTTATAGTCGACAACTTACAGAGAAATTTCTTTTCCGAGGAAAATAATTAAAATCAAAAGAACAGAAGAAGTAGCAAAATAGTACCCTACTTCCAACCAAAAGAAACCCAAATTCATTGGGACATATTTCCTCTAACTGTAATCTTATGGTACTACTAGTGCATTTAATTAGGGCAGGTTACTTGATGCCCTTTATAAACTAGTATTTCTTTGGTTTCAGTCCTTCAGATCTAAGTATCACATACATTTTATTTTCTTAGACATTTTTTCCTCTTTGAGAAACTAAATTGGAAAAAATATCTCATCCTCTTCTCTCTAGCTAATATACTCCTCAATTAATAATTCTATCTCATCAACAACTCAATTTTTCTTTTATTTTATTTTATTACCATTTACCATCTTTGTCTCACTTTTTCTATTTTCTTTTTCCTACCCTCCTTTTTTATTGGAACCTTACTCACAAAAAGAGCAAGATTTTGGGCATAATATTCTTTTGATCTAGGTAAGTTAAAGGATTAAGAAAATTTTAGTTGGATTTTGGAAAGAGAAAAAAGGGAAGAAAACATGGGTGCCCTTCTTGCTAATTGGCCATGGGAGAACTTGGGCTCAAACAAGGTACTAATTTCTCTACCCTTGTTTTTTGGAAATTTTGGTTTATAAATTGATTAGGTGATCATTATCTTTTTTGAAAAACATTAATAATAATAATAATAATAATAATAATAATAATTGTGCATAATTTTTATTTGTTTATCTTGAAATATTACATCAAATCAACAATTTTAGATAGAATCAACGCGTTTTTTTTGAAACTTGAATCCTAATTTATCTTTCAATACAAGATGATCTGAGTCACGAATTAACTTTAAATTTTATCTTGTAGTATTTTCTATACGGCCCGTTTATTGCACAAGTAGCACAACTATGGTGGAAAGGAGAAACAATAAGCAATACATGGAGCTTCCATATTCTATTGCTATGTAGTCTTAGAGGTGTTCTCCATCAACTTTGGCATACTTATTGCAACATGCTCTTCCTTAGCCTTAAGCGCCGAATTAATCACCAAGGAATCGATTTTAAGCAAATCGACCACGAATGGAATTGGTATGTTCATTCACATCATACACAATTATTTATACTTTATGATTCTTATTCAACATACAAATTTAATTTAATCATATGATTCTTATTTTATATGATTTAATTACAGGGATAATTTCATAATTCTTCAAGCATTAGTTGGAAGCTTAATGTTGTATATGTTCCCATCCTTAACAAATTGGAACGTGTTATGGGACGTAAGAGGATTAATTGCAGCTTTGTTGATTCATATGGTAGTTTCGGAGCCGTTGTATTATACGATACATAGGTTATTTCATAACCAACCAAAATTATACAACAATTACCATTCACTACATCATTTATCTCCTGTACTACAGCCTTATACTGGTAAGTTTTGCAACTAGCTTATTTATTTTGCGTATAATTTTGGTTTATGCTACCTAAAATCATTAATTTATATATGGTTGGTCAAGTAATAATAGTTTATTGTGTTGAAAAGGATTGATATGACTAGAACGTAACTTAACTAGTATAATTGGACCAATAACTTAATTAACATGTTTAATCTGTTAAGTATGTATTAGGCTTAAATGTTAGATGTTTCCACCATTTTCTACTAAGGAAATTATTTAAATATTTGATTTATTAGTTAAAGAGAAACAGAAGTGGTCGGTTTGATAAAATATGATGAGATAAGTTTGGTACCTCCAGATACCATATTTAATTTACAATTAAAATAAGTTTAAATAAGTGAAAACCAGTTAAAAAAACAAACATAATCTAATTAACACTTTTGATATGAACTTTTGCAGCGGGAAATGCAACATTCTTAGAGCACATCCTCTTGTTGGGGATCATGGGGATTCCATTGGTTGGAGCAGCTTTGATGGGATATGGTTCAATTGGCTTGATTTACATCTATGTTTTGGCATTTGATTTCTTAAGATGTTTGGGACACTCTAATGTTGAAATTTTCCCACATCAAATTTTTGAAGTTTTGCCTATCTTTAGATACCTTCTATACACCCCTACGTAAGTATCGCAATCTTTAATTTCTTAAGGTAGTTTTTCATATTTGAACGATTTTTAAGTTTTTTTAAAAAAAAATAGTAGGAAAGTAATTGATGAAGCACCTCATTCCAACTTTATGGGCACCACATAAGAATGGAAGAGTAATAAATGTGTTACTTCAGATTAATCACGGTCCTTATGTACTATGGAACTAGTTTTATTTCTCATGCCACTAGGCCTATTTTAATAAATTTACAAGCAAAATAAAAGGAGTTCGTTGTAACAAGTAAACATTAATGTGATCTAACTTCCAAAGGATTCATGTAGTATTGTCAAATGCATGCTTACTAATTAAGAGTAGAAAGAAAATACACAACCTTATTTACCATGCGAGATGTGCGAAATTGATTGTATCGATGTTCTAAGTGTTTTCAAAAACATACTTCGTATGATGTCTATCCCAGCTTCTTATCAACAACTCTTATATCATATCGAGTGGAACCTTTATGTTCGACAAAATTCAAAAATGTTTAAACTAAACACGTATGCTAGCTTTTGCTTATCAATCAGTATAGTTAACTTCTCACCTAATTGAGTCCAAAACTATTCGAAGTGTTAATGTTATACTCATGAACAAAGAAAGAAAACAAATTAATGTTGAATTGTATTACTAAATTTTGCAGATATCACAGCATACATCATTCAGAGAAAGATTGTAATTTCTGTCTATTTATGCCAATTTACGACTTATTGGGAAATACTCTTAACGGCAAATCGTGGGAGATGCAAAAGCAAATAAGTCTAAATTCAGGTTTGGAAATATTCAAGAACTTTTTTTCACATCTTACAGAACAAATCTTTCCAAAAATGTGAAAAGTTTGGTTAACTTTTTTTATTTTTCATGTGTTATTTGCCATTTTCTTATATTAAATGATTTCTCACATAAATAGATATGCTAGGAGAGTTAGAAAGGCCAATATATTACTCTATCATTGGTTCATTCATAGAAAGAAAAAAATTATGTGTTACATTTTTTTTATTAGGCTAGGGTCATTACATGTGCACTTGTACTAGCCCATATCACCTTATACCCTACCTATTTAATGATATTGGTCTTGTATGATCAAAGCAAGAAAAAACATGATAACATGGACTTATAATATTGTTACGGAGATCATTTTATATATACATTCAATTTTTTTAGTGCATAATAACACTGATCATGAAAATCTGTTATTACAAAATTCTAATGAAGTGATATTTTAAAAATATACATTAGATATGGGTACTGAATAGTCAAATTACGCATATAATTAATTATTGATTAGTAATTAACATCAAGTCTTAATATACAGAGAAAAATGTGAGGGTGCCGGACTTTGTGTTCTTAGCACATGTAGTGGACATATCATCGGCCTTGCATGTCCCATGGTTGTTCCGAGCATATGCAGCCTTGCCCTTCTCCGTGCGGTGGTTTCTCTTGCCCTGTTGGCCTATTGTTTTATTGGTTATGTTCATGATGTGGGCATGGGCCAAGCCCTTCACCGTCTCCTTCTACAACCTCCGCGGCAAGTTGCACCATACCTGGGTTGTTCCTAGGTTCGGTTTCCAGGTACCTTATATCATACTCCTTTTGTCTCTTAATAAGTACTACTTGTGTCATTTTATGTTACATGTGCAAAACAAACAAGTATACCTACAAAGATATGTAACTTTAGAGAAAAAAAATAAAAAATTACCCGGCTTAAACATATTGTAACTGTAATGTTTTTAGATACATTTAAAGGGTAAACATTTGTAAATTTCTATTTCTTGGACAGTATTTCTTGCCATTTGCAACAAAAGGGATCAACAAGCAAATAGAGCATGCTATACTTAAGGCAGATAAAATGGGTGTCAAGGTTCTTAGCCTCGCGGCCCTCAACAAGGTGTGATTTTTTCTAATTTCAATTTTTTTTTTTTTTTTTTTTTTTTTTTGGAACAGATTTTATATATTTTTTAGTTCAATGTTTAATTTAATTTGATGTATTTCCTAATTTGGAATTGAAATTTGTTTAATGTACAGAATGAAGCATTGAATGGTGGAGGAACATTGTTTGTTAACAAGCATCCTAACCTAAAAGTACGTGTGGTTCATGGAAATACATTGACCGCCGCAGTTATTCTTCATGAACTTCCAAACAATGTCGAGGAAGTCTTCCTAACCGGTGCAACCTCTAAGCTCGGAAGAGCCATCGCCCTTTATCTCAGTCGTAAACAAGTGCGAGTTTTGGTGAGTATTACCCTCATTCTTCTAACTCAAAAGCACCCAAAACGTCATCGGGTGCAACAACTGTACAATGTGACCAAAAAATTCAACAAAGGTTTTAAATGATCTCCAATTTGTCTTAGTCACGTTGTACAAGTTGTTGCATGCAATATATAATGAGTTGTTTTAAACCAACACACGTCGCTATTGAGATAATATAGTTCAATATCAGAAGTTTTATCAACTAAACTAGCAAGTTGAAAAGCAAACGTAGTACGATAGATGATTCGATTAGAAATTGTGTGCAAGTATTTGCAAACAAGGAAATTAAACATGCTAGTTAAAAAATTGTGGCCTTAAACCACTATGCCCAACCCAACATTTATTAGCTTGAAGGTTGGTTTTATCCCTAAGTTAACTCCTTAGCTGGCTGATCGGCCCCCTAATAATGAGCATATATATGAACATGAGTTTATATATTGGTACATGTGCATTCAAATTTTCTTCACTTTTTACCTAACATTTAGACCTTTTAATTCATTCATTGGATATGACTGAAATCTTGTGATAGCATAGTTGGTGCTGGATCATTTAAAATAAATTGTTACACTTTTATTCTAGCTATTTACTATCTTGATTATATGATTTTGATATAATTATAATTCATTTAAATTTTACTTATATTTGTACAATAATATTGCAGATGTTGACTCTATCAACTGAGAGGTTCCAAAAAATTCAAAAAGAAGCTCCAGTAGAATGTCAAAAATACTTGGTACAAGTGACCAAATACCAAGCAGCCAAGAATTGCAAGGTAATTTATTGTATATGATACTTTAAAGTTTAGTCGAATACATATGACCATGTCGAAGACATATGTTTAAATGGACATCAAACAACCAAAATCTTAAACCGGTGCCTTAAAGTAAAAGCAATAGTTTTCCTTACGCGCATATATCATAGGTTCCATCGTGTTATATGTAAAAGTGTATACACATATAAGTTTGTGAACGTTTAATTGGAATGAAAATATCTATCCGTACAACAACCACAAACAAAAATTCAAAAGTCTATCTATATGAAAGTGCAATAACTATTACTTACAATTTTAGATAATTGGGACCATAACATAACACATGAAACTCATTTGCAATGTACATTACAGACATGGATAGTAGGAAAATGGATCACACCAAGGGAGCAAAATTGGGCACCAACCGGGGCCCATTTTCATCAATTTGTGGTTCCACCTATCTTGCATTTTAGAAGAGATTGTACTTATGGTGATCTTGCTGCCATGAAGCTGCCTGAGGATGCCCAAGGTCTTGGCAGTTGCGAGGTAATTAAGCGCCTTTTATTTCACACGTTACATAAAACTGTACTTTACTTTGTGTTTATATATGTCATCGTCGCATGCATTATGCATGCATCTTGTAACTCTTAATTAAAGGTGACCAGTGGACCAGGCCAAGTTGAAAACATCTTGGACTGGTGATGAAAGAGGCCGGTTAGTTGTTAAGGGCTCATAATTCAGACAATATCTAAACCTTTTAAGCGATTTTACGATTTAGATTTGGTCTTGAACTAGATCCACTGGTTCGGCCACCAATCATTATACTAATGGTGTTAATTAGGGCCACCAATATATAATCCAAAACATGACCCTCCTAAGAAATATACAGTTATACATCATCATACAACCATATGAGTATATGATGCATTAGTCATGAATCATGGTGTATTAATTCTTATGATTAATGATAGGTGATGACATATATCACGGTCAATGACTAAATAAAACAATATCTCATTGAAGTAACATATATTTATAAAATATCTTAATTAGCTGATTGCATCCAATCTATAACGTGTGAATTTCTACCAATTCCAAAGATCTACTAACTGTGGCCGGCCAACCATGGCTTTCATTATTCAACTTAAGTTTCCGTAGCTTCTTTGCTCATACAATAATGATTCACCTACTAGTTATAAATGTAATTGATGTCTACATATTTATACAAATTAATTGACTTTTTTAAGCTTAATTGCATGATTATAGCAACGTAGATACTTGTAAATCGCTAAAGGCTTGAGACGGTATATGAACTTACTAAATCTAGAAGTAAAAAAATCGTGAAATGTTTCTATCTGCCTTTTTAAATTGCACGGTTCCATTTAACTATATAAGCATGTTTCTTCTCAGAAATATCGATGAATACTCATAACTAAAATATCTCATCAAATGAATATACTAGCGTTAAGAACATTTTTTGTGAACGGATAGAGTACATATATATGGCATATATGCTCACACCTCCTTAGACATACAAACATTTATTTCACAGAAACATAAAATTAAATCATAATATATTAGCTTATTAAATTTTTGGGATGAATTATAAATGCAGTATACAATGGAAAGAGGAGTAGTACATGCATGTCATGCTGGAGGAGTGGTTCATTCACTAGAAGGGTGGACACATCATGAGGTTGGTGCAATTGACGTGGATAGAATTGATGTGGTGTGGAAATCTGCAATGAAGCACGGTTTAAAACCTGTTTAGGGTTTGGATAATTATTGCTTATAATAATTAAGAAGTTAAAAGGGGGTAATCCAAACCCCTAATTTCTAATGATTCTTGTAATTTGCAAGTTTCCAATTTTCTTCTTGCAAAATCGCTTTAATTAATTTCTTTTTGTAATTTTCAATATTAGAGATAGGTCTATTTCATTTTTAGCTTGTATTCATTCCATGTATGTAGTTATGAAAACAAAAAAGAAAATTGTTATATAATAACACTACTATATATATTTATATATATATAGCATTGTATTCATTTATGATATAAATAATAATTATTGCTATAAGCTTTTGCGATTCAATTCTAATACGTAGTTATCAATGGGAATGCTCAAATTTAGGGTATCCAAGCAGGTAATAATATTTTGATTATTAGTGTATGTACTTGAAATTTTGATAGTTGAATACTCGTCTCCTATACACCATACAGAAAAATAAAATCAAGTGGTTCTCTAGCACTTCAATCAATCAAGTTATAATATGCTTGATATATGTTGTATGATTTAGATTTATGGTACGCACATTATTGGAGTGTACTTAATAATAAGTACACTTATTTCACGAAGTTAAATGTTCAAACTGTAATATATACCTTGTACTTCGTGTATATTAATTATTCATAGGATAATACGTATATGGTGCAATAAAACATGTAGGAGAACTCTTGGCACATAGCTACTATTTACTTATCTTGTAAATAGCATGAAAGACAAAAGAGTGGTGGATGAGTTGTAAATATGAACATTGGTATAAAGTACTATTAAATAGGTAAATAATACGGAGTACCATTGAATGTTTTAGTAGTATAAATTTTTTTCTAGTGGTACAAATAAGTATATAAATTGTACATCAAATATTATACCATTGTTACCTATAAATAATACTACTAAGACATCCTATATTTTAATAGTATAAAATAAATGTATAATAGTACATTATAAATACCACTGTAACCATTAAAAATTTCAAAAATTATCAAGTGTCATGTGAATTTACCAATTAGCCCTTCAACATACATCCTGCTATATGCCTAGCTAATTGCACTCATAAGGTACTCCGTAGTTTTACCCAATAGTCTAATACATAGTAGATGGATATGATATGTTATAAGCTCTGATCTATTTGGTTCACATAAATAACATGGTTATTATTAGTTTTCTCAACCACATTAAAAGAGCTTGGATATAACTTTCCTTTACGTAATTGCTACCTTCCAGGCTTCCTACCACCAATAAAGAGGGTTCCATTAAACTAGTTGTCTCAACAACGTAACTCATTTACAATTTCAGATCAGAAGTCAAATAAAGTACCATGTGTCTATTTTGAATTATTTCCATGTCAATGTTTGCCACAAAATATCTCAATTGCACCCTTATGATGAGTTGTGACCCTTCATGGACCCTTTTTTTTTTTTAACACAAACTGAAAGATCATTATATTAATAGGCTATTGCCAAGTTTATAATTACATACTTCACCTTTTGGTTTATACAAAATTTGGTGAAGGGCAAAAGATAGCAGAGAAGGAACACAGAAGTTCTTGAAACTATTACAGGCCTACTTAAACCGAAACCACACTATGACCCTTCATGGACTTGATTAAAGAGATTAGCATAACAAGTGGCAATTCCATGCCAAAAGCTCCAATATTACTATATGAGCTGAGATTTCCTACTCTCTTCGATTCTTTTCTGTTGGTTCATTTTGATTTTTCTATTTTACAAAAAATATTAAATGAAAGGAACAAAAAGAATACATTGGATCGATCACAGTATATAAATTGCTAAAATGAATAGAGAAATTCATCTAATTAGCATCACCTTCAAAATTTACTATAGCCACCAGCAAATTACTAGCTACTACCTTTGGATTATATTATATGCAACTTTTGCCAAAAACGGATGATTCACATTAGATGCAACTTTCCAATTCTTTCCTTTTTAAGTAAATTTTTTTAATGAAATTACTCAAATACCCTTACTCAAGATATCATAAACACAATTAAACAACTAAATCAGAATTCATTAGAATAATAATTTATTTTAATTAACATAATTTCTCTCACCAAATTCAATTCACCCAAAATTTTCCAACCAAACTCTCGTTACCCAAACCCATCGTCACATAACTAAATAACCAACCACAGCCTGCAAATAACAACATTCCACAATCAGTGGGGAGGAACTAGCAGTTCTCCCTCAAATAAAAAATAGAAGATTTCAAACTTAAATTAATAGAAAGAAATAACAACTCGCAAACTCAAATGAAATCACTTACCATACAAACTATGAAATATTTTTGGCAAAATTGGCCACAACACCCTAAAGTATGATTTAGGTGCACTAAGCACTCTGAACTTTGCATAGTAGCCAAAACACCTCCAACTATAGTGTTAGGTGCGACGTGTGCCTTAAATGAAAATTTCTACCCACTTATTTCACAAGAGGAAGTGAATCTCCACTCTCCAAAACAGTTTAAAGAAATGGTGAACAATTCCCATCCACTTGGCATGCGCGGATTTACCTCCTCTGGTGAAATAAGTGGCCGGAATCATTTAAGGCACGCGTCGCACCTAAAACCATAGTTGGTGGTGTTTTGGCTACTACACAAAGTTCAGAGTGCTCAGTGCACCTAAGCCATACTTTAGGGTGTTGCGGGCAATTTTGTCAATATTTTATAGTCCACTTAAAACAGAAAATCGATATTAAAACACTTAATTTCAATCACAATTCATATAAACTTCAAAATAATTAATAATCTCATAGTTTTAATATTTTCAAACTCAAAACATTCAAAACAGCTGAAAATGGCATGGAGGGAACGCCAGTAAACTCGCAGTCCACTTCCTTAGGTTTGTTAGGACGAACCCCCGGTCAACTCGCAAAAGACCGTGTTTAAGATTTGCCAACTCCCGGTTATGGGTAGATGCCTATAAGGTCTTACACACCCCCGGATGTAACCCTCCCCCCCCCCCCCCAAATTACTCTCCAATAATAATTATTATAAAATAGGATTTAGAAAGTAACTTAGGGATATTACCACCACGTGATTACGTAAGACTTTTCAAAACAGAGACTTGTAGTGGAAGAAATACATACTTAACCCTTTTTTTTATTTGTATTAATAATATGAATAATAACATCCAAAATAATAACTAGTATATATATAGTGGAGTACTTCAACAAAATAACACAATAGTGAAAACCCTAATCTAGGTGATTACTTCCCGAAGGTCCCCAATGCAGCAGCTAGCATCCACGCTTGAAAACACCTAACTACTCATCAATGAATTATAATTAAGGCAAAGCCAAAACAAAAGAGAAGTACGGGTTAGCAAAAACGCTAAGTAAATACCAATGCTAGATATGTAAAATCAATTTAGTTATTAGTTAAATATGCTTTCGTAAGATTTAACATTTATAAATAATATTTATTCAAAACATTCTATAAATAGAAATTTCACATTTAGAAACGTTTATAAACATTCCAAAAATTATCAACATTTCAAAGCCAACGACTTTCCAAAAATGGATTCCAATAGAAATGGAAGATCAATGTTTTCGTAAACCATTTTCCCAACCTAAGTGTGCACACCCCCCAAGCTAGTGACTCCTTACATAGTGCTATACTTGGAGAAAAGACTAGATCATACATAGTTCATAGCCTTATCATTTATCTCCGCATAGTGGGAGTTATAAAAACCCGATAAATATTTTTGATAAATCAACCTTTCAATTTCCATGTATGGGATGATTAAAATGATAACATTTCCTTCTTAAATAATTTGGTAAACAAAGTAAATTTACAAACAAGCTTATAAAGCGTTTAAATATTTAAGATTAAACAATCGTTTTTATTGAAACATGCTTATAAAATTTATTTTATAAACATTCATAAATCCTTGTTCAACATTCAAACATAGTTCATCATTCAAAACACAAAACACATTTGTATAAAATCACATATTTAAAGATATAGCCACGAGTACATACCTTGATCTTTACAACTATTCCACCTAGATTTACAACCACGAACTATCTCCTAAATAAACATTTTATGGAGTATTTTAAATAAACAACAAATATTAAACCTTATAAAAATCAAAAATTGAAAATAGATATTATTTTTAGAAGACTAACCGCAAAACAATCTAAAGTATAGTAGCAAAACTCACGGGAAGGTTCACGTTGAAAAGAAGGAGTCAGATCTTGTAAAGGTCATATCTCATAGTATATAACTCCAAATTGGGTGATTCTTGAGTGTAACCTCAAGAAATTTTCGAGAGGAACAACTTTGCCTCAAACAGCAGAAGGCTAAAAATGATCAGAAGTGGTTGAAAAATGGCTTGGAGCATATACGGGCTGAACTAGTACGAAAAGAGAGGCATAAGAAGAACGAAAGAAGAAAAGAAGGATGGATCTTTGAGAGCAAGAAACTTTTGGCTTAAAATGGCTGAACTTTGGGTTCTATTTATAGAGTTTGATTGACATCATGTATGATGTCAACAACTTGGGGTTCGAGTATTCAAGCTTGTAAAGGAAGTTTATGACTTTGGTCATACTTTAGGAGTAAGAAATGGACTTAGGTACTTTGACTTGGAGTAAAGAAATACTCAAAGTAGAAAAATATAATTTTCGAGTATTACATTTCCTGCTTAACTCATACGTATAAATATAAAATATTTTATAAATGTAATTATTATTCTGTAAAATTATATAATGACAAGTTAAATAATGCTATTGTATTATCTAAAAACATATTTATATATTATTTAAAATACTTTGGAAAGAAATCGGACGTAATTAAATTAACAAATATGATTAGTATATAATTAAACGGGTTTAAAAATACGAGGTATTACAACCGACGACAACAATTAACCAAAGTTGAGCTACCTAAGACTCGTAGTCAAGGTACACTACACGAATAGAGAAAAATTGGCAACGGTTCAAACCCCCCCAAAGGCAACGGTTTTGAACCGTTGCGTATTAGAGGGTTGCCAAATCCCAAAATAATTGGCAACGGTTCAAAACCGTTGCCAACTCAAGCAATTGGCAACGATTAACCGTTGCCAACTCAAGCAATTGGCAACGGTTAACCGTTGCCAATTGCTATGGCGCCTTTTTTTTTTAATTAAATTTAATGTAGTTGGCACCGGTTAACCGGTGCCATTGACTTGTTTTTCTTTTTTTTTTTTTTTTACAGTTCAAAATCAGCATAA